ATGATGAGGGTAACAAATGTACAAATGTGCTTTACACAATTGATGTATGTATGGATTGTGATAAGAGCTGTATGAGCTCCCAATGAAATGATTTTTTTAAAAAGAGTAGAAAAACTTGAATATACCACTATTACTCAAAAAATATTAAAAAAAGCATAGCAGATATCTAAATTTTAAGTACCTAAAGGGAGCTAGTGAAAAATAACACATCAATAGTTCCAAAGAAACATAAAATGGACCATCTCACAACTTAAATCAAGATAAATTTCAGATTACTGGTGATTTTAAATATAAAACGTTTTAAACTTGAAAATGCTATGATACACAGAAATATTTTCATAACCTTGTGGTGAAGGAGATCTCTGTAAACATGACAGCTTAAACACCCCCCAAAAAATATAATAATAAGAAAAATAAAATTGTAATCAATTACTTTCATGGTATATCTGGCTATATAAAAATTTAAGCAGCTAAATGATTAAAAAAATCCAGTTTCAATACAGTAAAAAAATAGAATGGCTTCATATTCTAGTATATGGAAAATACTAATAAAAATTTTTAAAAGGATAAAATACCAATAGAAAAAGTGGTAGAGGCAATCGGTAAGGCCAATTAACAAAAAAGACAGTATAACAGCCAAACATTTCACCAGTAATCCAACCAACAATGATTTACCATTTCTTAAATATCTCATTTCTAAAGACTAAAGGAATAATAGTTGATAAAATCAGAGGAAATGAGTACCATAATACTACTGATAGTTATCTAAATTGTTACACCCTTGCAATTTAGCAATCTGTACTAAAATTTAAACTGTATACATCACTTGAAGCTGAAATTTTCCTTTTAAAAATACGCCCCACGAAAACAATTAGATGAGTACCCCTATTAATCTAATTCTTAATCAATTAATTAGTCACTTATAATAGTTATATACTGAAGAGCTTCCTAATGAAGATCAAAACCTTCCATATGGATTACACCTCAACATTTTTTAAAAAGCCCTCACAACTAAACCAACATGCAACACCTTGATAAACAGAGAAATGACTCAAGTTGTACACTATTTCACTTTCTTGGCTCCACAATCAACACCCATGGAAGCAGCAGTCAAGAACTCAAATGATGGATTGCATAAGGAAAATCTGCAGGAATAAGTCTTTAAAAGTGTTAAAAAGAGCTAAGATGTCATTTTGAAGACTAAGGTTCACTGGGCTAAGTCATGATATTTTCAATCACCTCATATGCACGCAAAAGCTGGACAATGTATAAAGATCAAAGATAAACTGGATGGAGGAAAGACTGGGAGCAAAGCCTTCAGTACCTTCATTTGCTCATGGGACATAACTCAAAGTGAGAATAGCTGCAAGCATCAATTAATAATCAGAGCTTGAAATGTACAAATTGTGAATCTAGAAAATGAGAAGCTGTGAAAAATGAAAAGGAATAAATAAAACGCAAAATTCAAGGCATTAGTGAGCTGAAATGGATTGGTCTTGGTCATTCTGAATCAGAAAATCATATGGTTCATTATGCTAGGAATGACAAATCCAAGAGGAATGGCATTACATTTACTGTCAAAAATATTTCAAGATTTCTCTTGAAGTACAGTATGGTCTGTTATAGTTTGATATCTGTCTGCAATCAAGGAAATCCAATCAATGCAAAAATATGCATCAACCAGTAAAACTAATGATGAAGAAATTCAAAAATTCTACCAACATCTTCATCCTGAACTGGATCAAACCTACCACAAAGATTCATTGATAATTACTGTCAATTGGAATACAAAAGCTAGGAACAAACAAGAAGGACCAGTAGTTGTACTTTCCAACTATATTCTTGTTGATAGAAACGAAGCCAGACACTGCATAATGGAATTTTCCAAGACAAACAACTTCTTCATGGCAAATACCTTTTTTCAAAAACACAAAAGGCGACTATACACCTGAGCTTCCCTAGATAGAATACAGAGAAACTAACTACACCTGTGGGAAGAGACAATGGAGCTCATTATCCACAGCTAAAATGAGGAAGGGCTGACTGCGTAACTGACCACCAATTTCTCCTATGCAAGTTCAGGATGACGCAGAAGAAAATAAAAAGAAGTTCATGAGCGATAAAGTATGAATTTGAGTCTATTCAACTTGAATTTCCAGAACATCTGGAGACCAGACAGGTCACACTACACATTATAACAGAAGACCTGAAGAGCTAGCTGTGAGATGACAAGAACGTCAGACATGAATGTTTAAAAACCATTTTTTAAACAGGAAAGATCAAAGTGAAACTTGAGAAAGACACTAAATCTCACTGTTAATTGCGCAAGCTAAGGCAAACGGGAGAAATAATGACGTCAAAGCGCTGAACAGAAAATTTCAAAGGGCAAGAAGATAAAATATTATACAGAAATGTGCCAAGACCTAGAGCTAGAAAACCAAAATGGAAGAACACACTCCGCATGTCTTAAACTGAAAGAAATAAAGGGAAAAAGTCCAGCCATAAGTTGCAATACTGAAAGATTCTATGGGCAAAGAAATGGAATGATGTAGGAAGCATCGACAGAAGAAAGATGGAAAGAATACAGAGTCTCTGTACCAAAAAGAACTCATCAACACTGAACCATTTCAAGAGGTACCACATCAGCAAGAACCAATGCTACTGAAGGAAGCAAGGCCTTCTTCAACAAGGGTCCAGGAATTGATGGAAAAGCAATGGAAATGTTTCAACAACCTAATGAGGTTCTGGAAGCACTAACTCATCTATACCATGAAATCAGGAAGACAGCTACTTGGCCAACGGACTGGAAAAGATCCATTATTTGTACACATTCCAAAGAAAGGTGAACTCTCAAATTATAGAACAATATTATTAATAGCACATGCAAGTAAAATTTTGCTGAATATCATTGAACATGGTTGCAGCAGTACATTGACAAGAAGCTGTCACAGATTCAGGCCAAAACCAGAAGAGGGCAAAGAACAAGATTTATCATTGCTGACATCAGATGAATCTTGGCTGAAAGCAGAGAATAGCAGAAAAATGCTTACTTGTGTTTTAGTGACTATACTAAGGCATTCAACTATATGGACCATACAAATTATTGACAGTCTTGAGAAGAACTGGAATCCCAGAACCCTACATTGTGCCCACATGGAACCTGTACATGGATCAAGTTGTGTGAACAGAAAAATGAAATACTGCATGATTTAAATCAGGAAAGGTGTGCATCAGGGTTGTATCCTCTCACCATACATATTCAAATTGCATGCTGACAAAATAATCAGAGAAGCTGGATTATATCAGGAATGGGAAAAGACTTATTAACAACCTGCAATATGCAGATGACAAACTTTCTTAATGAAAGTGAAGAGGACTTGAAGCACTTACTGATGAAGATCAAGGATTTCAGTCTGCAGTATGGATTACAACTCAACGTAAAGAAAACAAAAATCCTCACAACTGCACCAATAGGTAACACACTAATATGTGGAGGAAAGACTGAAGTTGTCAAGGATTTCATCTTGCTTGGATCCGCAATCAATGCTCATGGAAGCATCAAGAGATCTAAAACTCATTGCATTGGGTAAATCTGCTGCACAAGACCTCTCTAAAGAGTTGATATGCAAGGACGTTACTTTAGGGACGGAGGTTACTTTAGGGACGAAGAGGAGCTTGAGCCAACCCATGGCATTTTCAATTGCCTCCCATGCGTGTGAAAGTTGGACATAGACTATGGAAGACCAAAGAAGAATCAATGCATTCGTATTATGGAGCTGGCCAAGAATACTGAAAGGACCACAGGCTGCCAAAAAAACACACAAATCTGTCTTGGAAGAAGTATAGCCAGAATGTTCTTTGGAGTCAAGGATAGCCAGACTTTATCTCATCTACTTTGGATATACTGTCAGTCTAGGGATTGGAGAAAGGAAATTATGCTTAATAAAATAGAGGGCAGTGAAAAAGAGGAAGACCTTTGACCAAATGGACTGACACGGGGCTGCAGTAGTGGGTTCAAACATAAGAACTGTGAGGATGGCACAGGACTGGACCGTGTTTTGCTGTGTTGCGCATACTATGAATCTGAACAGACTCAAGGGCACCTAACAAGAACAACATCCAGAAGAACAAACAAATCTTACTTGGAAGAAGTGCATACATAATGCACCATAGAAGCAAGAACAGTGCAATGTCATTTCAGGTAGTTGAACATATCAAGAGACCAGTCCCTGGAGAAGGACACTGTTAATTATTGAATGCTGATACAACAGAAATAAAGTGTATGGCTTTAACAAATAGATTTGCTTTCTCACAGTTTAAGCAACTAGAAGTCCAAAATCAGTGTCAGCTCCAGGGAAAGGTAGAAGACTGGTAGCAGACAGCATCCTTTGAATCTGAGGTTCCTGCATTAAGAGCCTTCTAGACCAAGGGGAAGGTTGAGATCAAGACACATGGCGATCTCTAAGGAACACCAGCCCTACAGATGTTCGGAGGAGACAAAGACTTTCTCCAGATCTGACAGAGAGTGAAAGGCTTCCCTTAGAGATAGCACCCTGAATTTGGTCTTCCAGTCTTCTAAACTGTGAAAGTATAAGCTTCTGTTTCTGAAAACAAAATGAACCAAAAATGAATGGAAGAAATGATGAAGTAAAAACATCTGAATGAAAAGATCTTTTAATGAAGACTGAGAAAACAAAGTACTGTATTATCGTAAAATATGCAATGGTCTGGTGTTAGGCAACCAAAAACAAAAAAAAAAAGAGGAAGAAGATAGTGTTTCACAATATGAAAGAACTAAAGACAAAATTTAAACGAAGTTGCAATACTGTGGTTCTATGGGTAAAACATTGAACAACACAGGAAGTGTCAAAAGATGGAAGAAATAAATTCACTGTAACAAGAAGAATTAGTCCATATTCAAACATTTCAGGAGGTAGCATACAGTCAAGAACTAAGGACACTGAAGGACAAAGTCCAAACTTCACTGAAGAAATGGGTGAAAAACACCACTCCAGGAATAGCTGTACTATTAACGAAAATGTTTCAACAAGCAGATAGTACACTGGAAGTGCTCATTCATAGATGCCAAATTATTTGGAAGACAGCTCTTGGGCTAATTGACTGGAAGAGATCATATCTGTGCCCATTCCAAAGAAGGTGATCCAACCGAATGCAGAAAGTATCTACCAATATCATTAATATCACATGCAAGCACATTTTTTCTGAAGGTGACTCAAAAGTTCAAGCCAGACGCAGAAGAGGGTGTGGAACAAGGGATCATTGCTGATGACAGAGAAATATTGGCTAAAAGCAGAAACTACCAAAATGATGTCTCTCTTTGTTCTGACTATGCAAAGGCATTCATCGCTGTAGATGATAAATTATGAACAACACTGCAAAGAGTGAAAATTCTAGAACACTTCATTGTGCTCATCCTGAACAGGTACATGGACCAAGCGATAGTTATTCAAGCAGAGCTAGGGAATACTGCATGGTTTAACATCAGAAAAGGTGTGTATCGTGGTTGTATCCTTTCACTCTACTTCATTCTTGCTTGCTGCAAAGAGAACTTGAAGTACCTAATATAAATCAAAGACTACATACAGCCTTCAGTGTGGATTATACCTCAACATGAGAAAACAAAAACCCTCACAACAGAGCCAATAAGCTGAGAAAAGACTGAAATAGTCAAGTACTTCATTTTACTTGAATTCACAATAAGCACTCACAGAAGTAGCACTCAGGAACTCAAACAGCATCGTGCATGGAGCAAATCTGCTGCACAAGACCTCTTTGAAGTGTTAAAGAACAAAGACATCACTGTGAGGACTAAGGTGTCCCTGACTAAAACTATGATATTATCAAACACCTCATATGCATTAGAAAGCTGGACAACAAAAAGGAAGACCAAAGATATGATGCCTTTAACTCACTGTATTGGTGAAGAATATTGAATATACCACAGATGCCAGAAGAACGAATAAATTGGTCTAGGAAGTATTAGTCACAATGCTCCTTCGAAGTCAGCATGGTGAGACTTCATTTCATATGCATTGGTCCTTGATCAAGAGAGACCATTTCCTGGAGAAGAGCATCATGTTTGGTAGAGGGTCAACAAAGAAAGAATAAATCTCAAGAGATGGATTGACACGGTGGCTCAATCAATGGGAATGGACTCAAACAAGGCAACAATTTTAAGGATGGTGCAGGTCTAGGCAGCATTCTGTTCTGCTGAATATGATGCGGTCACTAAGAGTCAAAACCAACTTGACAGCATTTAACATCAACAAGGTTCTTTTTAACTCACTGCAAATAAACGCATATCAGAAATCCTTATGTAAGGTTGGTCTAATAAAACCTATTCTTTTTTTATTATTATTTAAATCCTTTTATTGGGGGCTCTTACAGCTCTAATCATCTAATCATCTATTGTGTCAAGCACATTTGTACATATATTGCAATCATCATTTTCAAAACATTTTCTTTCTACTTGAGTCCTTCATATCAGTTCCTCATTTTCTCCCTCCCCTACCCTCCCTCCCTCATGAACCCTTGATAATTTATAAATTTCTCCCCCCAAAAAACCCATTCTTATTAAAGGCACTCTCCTCATAGGACTAAAAGAAAGTGAGGTGAACCAATGGCTCAAGTAGAAAGAAAATGTTTTGGGAATGATGATGGCAACAAACGTACAATAGTGCTTGACACAATGGATGGATGTATGGGTTGTGATAAAAGTTGTACAAGTCCCCAATAAAATGATTTTTAAAAAGAAATAAAGAAACCTATGCCAAGATACATCAAAATTAAGCTTTTGAAAAACAAAGACAAAAATAACAACAACAAAAAGGAACTGAGATGAAAGAAAGTAATTTTAAAATGCATTCTCTTACCTTGTGCATATTGGCACAGGCCATGTGATGGGCCAGAAAGTGGTACCAGTACATGCAGTCCTCCTGATCGGGTGAAAGAGAATGTAGTTGGTGATGTCTTTGGAACTGAGTTATCAGCTTCTTATGCAGATCCTGAAATCCCAATAAAACAGTTCAAAGATCAGAAACAATATCATAATCCAAAGTCATTCTGGCTTCCAAGCTATTAAAAATGTAGAGAGAATTTCCCAACAAGATATTATAAAGGGGAAAAAAAACAGTAGCTGTAAAGTTGAAAAATGAAGCAGACCACCAAAGAGACTATCTATTAACAACATGCAACCCCCCTGCACCATTGCCAATACAAAGCACTGAGGGCACTCTATAGCTTTTCTAATATTCTTGCCCCCAAAATGCATAATTTCAACAGAATCATGAGAAAATATCAGACAAATCAAAATTAAAGGACATCCTGAAAAATGGCCAGTACTTTTCAAAAATGGAAAGGTTGTGAAAAATAAAAACTTAAGAGATTAAAGGAAACTTAGAAAAATTTTCAGAGATTAAAAGAGACTTAGAAAAATAACAACTAGTGGAGAAAGGGGAAACCAATCACAATGAGCTACATATAAACCCCTCCCTGGGGGACAGACAACAGAAAAATGGGTGAAGGGAGACATCAGTCAGTGTAAGACATGGAAAAGTAATAATAATTTATAACTTATCAAGGGTTCATGAGGGAGGGAGAATAGCGGAGGGGGGGGGGATGAGGAGCTGATACCATGGGTTCAAGTAGAAAGAAAAGGTTTTTAGAATGATGGTGGCAACAAATGTACAAATGTGTCTGACACAATGAAGGTATGTATGGATTGTGATAAGTGCTGTGCAAGCCCCCATTAAAATGATCTATAAAAAAAGAAAAGAAAAATAACAACTAAGCATGACGTAACCTGAAATCCTGAACTGGGTCTGGACCAGAAAGGGGCCAAAATGAGAAAGCTGGTGAAATTCAAATTAAGTCTATGGATTCATCAATCGTGTTGTATCAATGTTACTTTTATTATTTTCATAACTGTATTATAGTTATGTTGGTAAACTTTAGGGGAAGGAGCCCTGATGGCAGATTGGTTACAAGCTGGGACACTAACCGAAAGATCAGTAGTTCACAACACCAGCTACTCCCAGGGAGAAAAGGAGGCTTTCTATTCCCAACAAGAGTTGCAGTCTCGGAAACACACAGGGGCAGTTCTACCCTGTCCTATAGGGCTGTCATGAGTTGGAGTTGACTGGAAGATAGTGAATGTGGTTTAGGGGAAGAACATATTCATAGAAATACTCTAATACTTTTTGCAACTTTTCTATAAGTCTAAAATTATTTCTAAATAAAAATGGGGGCAAAAAAATAATGTACAACAGATGCAAGTACCTGAAGTTGGCTGCGATACTTCTCGGTAAGGAAATCTACTTGAAGATCGTGTAAGTAGTAACAAAATGACTTTCCATTTCGATCGCAGAATAAGAGAGACTTATTAACAAACTCTTGCAGTATGTCTTCAACTTCCTCAGTTTCCATGTCCCAGAGAATGCAGAACACCTAGGAGTCAATCAAAACAGTTAATGTGCCACAGAAAGAAAATGACCGGGATTGCCGATAAGGTGTTAACACCAAAATCAAAACACAATCTTAAAGCCCTCACTGTCTGCATTTATATAATAAAGCCTGTTCCTTAAGATAAAAAAGAGGAGAGAGAGAAAAGTTAGATGTTCTCCATCTTTACTAGCACCATTCCAAGGAACTGGTGGCCCATGGGCTGAACACAGAGCCTGTGCTGAAAACTAAGAGCAGGGGTACTTCTGCACCCTCCATCCCACCACCCCATTCACAGGGATCTTACCCTCCAATATCCTCTGTTAACAATACCCTCAGTATGACAGCGGCACATGACAGAACACCTGATAATGAGGCTCTACAGACCGATGGTGCTTCCATTACCTTTGTGGGCACTTTAACATCCTTCTGAAGGATGGAAAGGTCTCTGTAATAATTCTTCATGTCTTCTCTGAGCATTTCAACACTTATAGACATGGCTTCGTCCAGAGCCTCATAATCGTAAGATGACGATTTCCTAATTCTCTTAAACTGCTTATTCTGAAGTTGCCTGAGGTAGTACTCCCAACGATTGGGAAACTCACGTAAAAGTGCACCAATTAAAGACACTACCAGAGGAGAACCTAAAAAATAAATAAACAAATGAAAGTACACACTGTTCTATAACTGTCTTATTTTTAAAATCACCACTAATGTGAGAATCAACTTATTCTCAGGAAGTAATTTTTGCCATCTAGGACCTTGAAACATTTATAACTCTTGGGGTAACTTCTAGGCATAATTATTCTAAAGAAATCACTAAAAATAAGAATGACTTCATTTAAAGACATTTGTTACAACATTATTTGGATTAGAAAAAAATTCTAAACAATGTAAATAAATTAGGGAAATGGTTGAATAAATTTTAAAACTAAGAAAAAAATATTTGCAAACATATGTCCAAGGACTAATATTTTCAACAGGTTTAAAAGGCAAAAATAAATTTTAAATATTTACTCTCAAAGAGGGTGAGTCAAAAGTAGATTTCAAAAAAAGGGAACTATCCTATTAAACATGTAAAAAGTTTACTTTTGCTAAAAATGCACATTAAGCCAAATTTTTCACTTAGAAAATTTGAATACTGTTTTTATAAAATCCTAACTTAGAATACTGTTTTCATCCTACCCATCTTACTAGAAAAACTATTTGATAAATCTACACTATAACAATATGTATCACTTAAGATAGTAAAGAACACAAAACACTAAATATTCCAGAAAATTTTTGAATGTTCACATTCTAAATATATTAGCTTAACCTGCAAAATGGAACAAATTTCCCCATAACCTCCTCATACACAAAATAAGTTAACTATACCTTTACATTCTCTTATAATACTATGAGCTTGTTCTGGCAAATCTGCTTTCTTCATATTAACAAAAAGGGATAAAATTTCAAGTCCTTTTTCTTTTCCTAAGCCACTCTCCACAGGAACTACATATTTAGGGCCTGCAACAAAAATCAGCACATAGTAAGTATTTTGATATGACACAGAGACCCACAAAGACGATAGCTCAAGAACCCCTTGAGGGCAACTCTGTCCTGCAGAGTGACTATGAGTCAGAAACAACCTAACTACAACATATTCAAATTCAAATAAACTACAACACATAGATACTAAGCAGCAAATTAATAACCCTTACCCATTACTGAATCTGTAACACTCTTATCTCTGGTTGTAAGAAGTATTTGACACTGATTGTCAAAAGCTTTTAAAACCCAAGGATCCCAAATATCATCCAAGATCAAGAGAGACCTAATAAGGAAAAGAGAGAGAAAAACTGTAATAAGTTATAACACTTTTAAGTTTCCTTTAAAAAACGATAATGACACCAGGGTCCTGTAAAACCTAAAACTCTAAAGAAAAGAGAGAATTAAAGTTTTGTTTATGGGTCGTCCTATTTTCTTTCTACACGCTCTACCCACTGTGCTGTTTTAAAATTAGAGGGAAAAAACTAGACTTCCCACTTCCCCCTCCAGCTACCCGAAACCAATATATATTAAAGTTTAAAAAAACTCACTGCTATCAAGATAATTAAGACTCACTGCTACCCTATAAGATGGAGTAGAATTGTGCCTGTCGGTTTCTGAGACTGGAACAGCATGTGTAGAAAGGACTGCATGTACTACCATATATACTCGAGTATAAGCCAGCCCATCAACTGAAGCACCTAATTTTACCACAAAGACTGCATTAAAAATGTGCTGAAAAACTCAGCTTAGACACGAGTATACACGGTATTTAAGTATAAGTGACTTATTGCTTCATCAACTATTACTTATCTAATGCTAAGAAGAACTTCAAAGAATGGGACTTCTCAATTCCGTTTTAAACACCAAAAACACACTGGAACTGAGCTTAGGACAGTATTAGGATGAATCACGTGCCATCTATGATATCTAAAGACTGTTGACCCCAAAATTGGCAATTTAATATGCTGAAACCTAACAGAACATACTAATACATTAATAGGGTGTAGGTTTGGTTTGGTTTTGCATCTAAGACACCAATTTGCCTATTCATAATGATAGCTACCTCTGGGTCAATTTGTTTGGTCTACGAACTTTTTCAAACTCATCAAAACAGGTGGGACCACTGAGAAAACATACAACTTTCCTCTAGTCCTTTAATGCTTGCTCCCCACCCATTATCATGACCCCAATTCTACCTTACAAATCCAGCTAGATCAGAGCATATACACTGGTACAGATAAAAGCTCTCAACACAGGGAATCCAGGGCAGATAAACCCCTCAGGACCAATAATGAGAGTAGTGATACCAGGAGTCTAAGAGGAAGGTGGGGGGAAAAAAGGGAACCAATCAGTGACCGACATATAACCCCCTCCCAGGGGGACGAACAACAGAAAAGTGGGTGAAGGGAGACAGTAGTCAATGTAAGACATAAAAAAAATAAGAATTTATAAATTATCAAGGGTTCATGAGGGAGGGAGGGCAGGAGAGGGGGGGAAATGAGCTGATACCAAGGAGTCAAGTAGAAAGAAAATGTTTTAAAAATGATGATGGCAACTTATGTACAAATGTGCTTGATACAATGCATAGATGTATGGATTGTGATAAGTGCTGTAAGAGCCCCCAATAAAATGGTTTAAAAAAAAACAAGTGGGAACACATAGACAACTAAAATCTGATACCATAAATATACACAAGCATCTGAATGACGTACAACAAATAAAGTCATCATAGGTACATGTTGGCAACGCAAAACCAGAAGTAAAATGATAGTGAAGGAGAAACAAAAGGGCTGGTTTTATAAACATGGTCTGATAGTGGTTGCAATATGTTCCTGGTCACTTTTATTTTCCAAAATAAGGTAAGTCAGCTAATATGAGAAGTTCCTGAGCAAGGAAGAGAGAATATGGCTCCTGGTTTCAATCCTATTCCCTGCAGGAAAATGGATACCAGTGATTATTAGTGGCTGTGAAGAAAAAGAGAGGAGAGAGGACCTCTGCAGTGGAAATACGCATCAGAATACCTATAGAGCTTTTTCTAAAAATTACTCTTCTCTCTCTCTAGTATTCTGATATTAATGTGCTTACCAATTTGAGAATCACTGCCACGCTTGAACATATTAAAGTGTATTGTACCCTCTAGTGCTTTAGGGCAAAAAAGGGTCAACACCACTACCTAGTTCTCTCCCAGTATACTTTAACAATCCCAACACATGCTTTATTCATCTCTGTACTTATAACACTTAGCCCAGAAACCAGCACAACATTCAATGCTGATTAGGTAAATAAATGGGAAAGTGCTAAATCTATGAGATCAGATGGAGTCTGAAATATACTCTTAAAGCAATTAGCAATTAAGCTACTGTCTCCCTCTTGGCTAAGGCAAAGTGTCAAATAATTGATAACAGCATCCAGCACATAAATCATAACGACAATTAATTAATGACAGAACACAAAAAAGCGAACACAAAAAGCAAACATTTGAAACCCAGAGAAGTAAAAGAGTTAATTTTTATCTCTCAAAAAAAAAAAAAAGAAGGGTCATAATTTAAGAACAATTAGTTCTTAGTATGTGACAACATAAACTGTTGTCAATTTGAGGATTAAGAATGAATGGGGTGGAGTTTAGCCTGTCAAGCAGATCACAGATTGATGACCCCATTTGGAGGTGAGAGAGACACACTCTCTCTCTGCTCACTCCCTCGGAGCTATTGCAGCTGACAAGACACATGGAACTATGCTAGTGCCCTGAGCTGGAGGAGTCAGTGCTGAGATGCTTACAATGTCACTGGATCCACAAGACTCCCCACCCACTGGCCTGTGATCTTCCTGCATTCGATGTCATTGCTTGTGTTTCATAAGTCTAAAGAGGACTTTATAGACTGGTATAGGACATGTGGTCTAATTTTGGACTTATGGACTCAATCTGGACTGGGCTGGGATGTTTTCTTAATGCACAATTACTCTTTATATAAAGTTATTTCTTATACATATGAGTGTCTATAAATTTGTTTCTCTAGTTTACCCAGACTAACACATGGCCCTCTTCGATACTTGCCCTCAAGTAGGGATCACTGAAAATATGGGTGTTGTGGTAGAGTATGGTAAAGAAACCAGATGGTGCCCACCTTTCAGAAAAAATAATATTTGGGGTCTTAAAGGTTTGTCATAAAACAAACTGCCAACTAAATGAGGTGTCAGTTAAATCTACACAGGAGCACACCAGCCTGTGTGTCCAAGGATTGTTAATAAGATCCATGATCAGAGGAAGGAATTGTATTAAAGCTTAAATTCTGAGCACCTGGTTTACAGAAGGCTATGGGTCTTATGAAAGCCCCAAATCTATCTGCAGTCCCCACGTGGATTAAGCCTCCGTTGAATTCCCTCTGACCATTGACCAGTGATGTGAATAGCCTTGCCATCAAACACACTGGAAGGTGGAGTACTCCTTCACTCTGCCCAGCCCAGAGAAGGGTAATCTCCCTTAGGGGTGATGGAGATCACCATACTGGAGGTAGCTTAGTCATGAGCCTGACTGCCTTGGGGAAGCCACTGGATCAATATCTTAAGTTCTTCTGTTAACATAATGTACATGTCTCAATCATGGCCCCGATGCTACTTCAGGAGTTCCACTATAACTAATATTGAGCTGAAGCCAACTGTGTTTGTGTGACCGCCCATGTTTTCTTTAACCTCCCATGTCCCATAACTCAGTGCACCCTTGAATACCATGATGACCTCGTACTATTGGTCTCTTTCATTCAGATGATATAGCTATGTTGTCTTATCCTTATCCACTTAAGACTTAATAGATGTTCTCTATAAGTTAAATAAAGAGAGGCTACTATCATAAAAGCCCTCCTGACTCAGTCTTTCACCAGTTGCCTTCATTTACTCTCTCTTGTTCTAAACTTAATAGATTTGAGATAGTAATGAGTTCAAGGTAAGGCGCTTATACTTCTTAGTAAAAACCACTCATCTACTCAAGAAGCATTTCTTTAAGGCCTACAATGGTACATATGAGACAACATATAGCTAGGATGCAAAGCAGAAATAAAGTAGCAATCTTAAGCCAAGTGGCAGTCATGAATGTTTTCAATATAACAGTAAGCAGCCAATGCACAGAGAGGGACCACGAGACACGATGTCCCTCACTGACCCATAGCACTATGGGAGACAACACTGGAGACACACTACAGAAATTGTGCCCGCTCACACTAAGGGCATGCAACAGAACAACAAGAGGAGCAGAGCAATGAAGACCCCAGGGAACAGCAAAAATGGACTGTGGGGCCAGGGTGTGGTGCCCCAACAGACTCGCCTGGAAAACACTCGTAAAGGACAACAAATAGACCTTGAACTATTTATAAGCTTTTCTTTTTTTTTCTTTTTTCACTGGCTTTTGTTGTTGTAGCTATTGTTTTATTTTCTATTGTTGTTTTGTTTTGCTCAGTCTTGTGTTCAGTCTTGTGTTTGTGCATATTATTATCTCTGAATGTCTACCTACAGAAGATAGGTGGGATAAACAAGCCGGACGAGAAAACAACAACAGGGCGACAGTTCCAGAGGGACATGGGAGAGGGGGAGGCGTGGGAAAGGAAGTGGGTGTTAACAAACCCCCACAAGGGAACAAGTGACAGAGAATCAATGGTGAGGAGGGTATGGGATGTCTGGTGGGGGCTTGATCAAGGGCAATGTAACCTAGAGGAATTACAGAAACCCAAATGAAGGCTGAACATGATAGTGGGACAAGAGGAAAGTAAAAGGAAATAGAAGAAAGAACAAGGAGGCAAAGGGCATTTATGGAGATCTAAATACAGGGACGTAAATATATTTATATGTGATGATGGGGAAATAGATCTATGTACATATATTTATAGGTTTAGTTTTAAGGAAGCAGATGGACATTGGGCCTCAACTCAAGTACTCCCTCAACACAAGAACACTTTGTTCTAATAATCCAGCACTATGAAATGCTCACCTTCCTGACATGATTGCTGAAGACAAAGCAGGTGCATAAGCAAATGTGATGAAGAAAGCTGATGGTGCCTGGTTACCAAAAGATACAGCGTCTGGGGTCTTACAGGCTTGAAGTAAACAAGCAGTCATCTAGCTGAGAAGCAACAAAGCCCACATGAAAGAAGCACACCAGCCTGTGTGATCATGAGATGCCGATGGGATCAGGTATCAGGCATCAAAAACCCAGAGCAAAAAATCATCAAGTGAATGAGGTGGGGAGTGCGGAGCGGAAGCTCAAAGTCAATCTGTAGGCAATTGGGCATCTCCTTACAGAAGGGTCATGGGGAGAACACAGGCCAGTCAGGGTGCAATATAGCATCGAAGAAACATACAGCTTTCCTCTAGTTCTTTAATGCTTCCTCCCCCCCACTACCATGATCCTAATTCTACCTTACAAATCTGGCAAGACCAGAGGAAGTACATGGGTACAGATAAGAGCTGGAAAGACAGGGAATACAGGACAGATAAACTCCTTGGGACCGATATTGAGAGTAGCCGTACCAGGAGAGGAAGGGGAAGGTGGGGGGGAAAGGGGGGGAACCAATCACAATGACCTATCTATAACCCCCTCCCAGGGGCATGGACAACAGACAAGGGGGTAAAGGGTGATACTGGACAATGCAAGACATGAGAAAATAATCAAGGGTTCATGAGGGAAGGAGAGAGGGGAGGGGACGGAGGGGAAAAATGAGGAGCAGATACCAAGGGCTCAAGTAGAAAGAAAATGCTTTGAAAATGACAATAGCAACATATGTACAAATGTGCTTGACAAAATGGATGAGTTGTACGAACCCCCAATAAAATGATTTATAATTTAAAAAAAGAAAGAACAGCAAAAAGTAATGGTTCTTTCTTAAACCCTCTAGAGCAGCGGTTCTCAACCTGGGGGTTGAGACCCCTTTGGGGTCGAATGACCCTTTCACAGGCGTCACCTGAGACCATATTTCCAATGATCTTAGGAGTAAGACACTGCTCCTCTAACCATCTCCAGGTGGGTCCACCCACATGCAGATACGTCCACATACAGGGTCACCACATCATGAGGAACTGTATTAATGGGTCATGGCATGAGTAAGGTTGAGAACCACTGCTCTAGAGAAAAGCAGGAAAAGAGCATGGTGATCTCAAGATGTCAGTAGTCAGGCTCAATGTTAATTTAATACACCAACTAAATTTGACCATCTGTACCTTGGGTATTTGCGCAGCATCAGAATGCGAAGGCGGTCCTTAGCCTCTTCAATATTAAGTGGAAGCCTCTGAGAGAAACTGTCATCCTGATCCAACCGTGTGCAAAGATTCTGCAGTTTCATCAGAAGCCCAGATTTATCTTGTTTCCCAACTGAAACCCAATGCACACCCCCTGGGAAACAACCTGGGGAGGTAAAGAAGAAATAAATTAAGGTCTATGAGCAAGACTTTCCCTTTGAATTATTTTAATGATAAACAGATTTACTCCAATCTTCAAAGTCTTCATTATCTTCAACTTCTCTTAATTTAGGCTTTTGTTTGACCTTACAGCCTGAATCTAAGAGAAATGGAAGATATAAAGAAATTAAAGATAGAGGAAATCTGTTGCTTATCAATAAAAACATACCAAGTAAAAATTTGCAACATTTTCCTTGTGTCATTAACGATCGATGTAGAGCAAGATTTCTCAACCTCGGCACTCTTGCTGTTTTGGTCCAAGTAATTCTTCATTGTGAGAGACTGCCCTGTCCCAATGGATATTTAGCAGCTTCTCTGGCTTCTAGCCACTAGTTGCCAGCAGTGCCAACCCCAGTTATGACAACTAAATATAAATCTGCATCCAGGTATTGCCAAATGTCTCCTGAAAAATAAAATCACCCTTATCTGAGGACCACTTATATCTAGGATAAGGTGACCAGATTTTAACATTGGTAAAGCGGGACAAAAGCGGGACACCATTGATAAAACTCATATCCTGGAGGAATAGCCACATGGCAGCCGAAAACCGTACACCCTAGCTTGTCGTGCATTCTTTCCAAAAATCGGGACTTTTAAGGGACGCAGGAAAAATTGTTAAAAATCGAGACTGTCCCGTCAAAAGCGGGACATCTGGTCACCTTAATCTAGGAACACAAAGCTAGGGGTTTTGAACTGCTGATCTTTCAGACAACAGCCCAACATGTAGCCAACCCTCAACACCAAATAACCCTCTGTAATTGTGAGTTTCGTCTACAAGTTCAGTGTGACTATGGCAACAAATTATAAACCCACTAGTAAACTAGTGTTTGTGGGCAATGGTTAATATAAGAACATAGTAAAAGAAGAATGGAGGATGGAGGCATGTCTGATCTTTTTCTGGTGGCAATTGGCATTAGGCTGGTGTGGACACGGGTTCTCTTTCTCCCTTGTGCATCTACAGGGAGTCAGATGTGACCCCCACACTGTTCCCTCACATTGAGTAAGAATTTAGACTCAAGTGTTAACTCTATGGCCTTTTAGTTATGCAATATTTAACAACCCACTGAAGTATTGTCTCATCATCTTTTATACTGGAATAAGCCTGTTTACCCCACCTATTTCAGAATTGCCGTGAGAAATTAATGATATAAAACATATGAAAGTGATACAATAACTATAAAATGTTTTAACAGGCCGGGTTATGGGTGTTAATAATAATAGGAAAACCTTATATTGAGCTTTTAAGCAATAAGCACTATACAGAAATGGCATTATTATGAGTGTTACTGTTAATTTTCACATCATCATTATTATCAGCAACATCACCATCAAGTCACAAATATCTGGAAATATCTTTGCTTACAAATGCACCAGGGAGCAAATGTCAGGACTCTCTGGTTTCTGAGGCTGTAAATCATTACAGGAGCAGACAGCCTCATCTTCCTTCCTTGGAGCAGTTGGTGGATTGGAACTGTTAACCAGATAGCAATCCAACCCAAAACCCACTAACCCACGAGAGTTCCTAGTTTTTTGTGGCAGTTATATATCTCCTGTCAACTTGAGTGAAGGTGTGCAGTCTAGTCTGTCAATCAGATCATAGCCAACGAGGCCTCTGTGTGGTCATAGCCTTCTCCTGAGGATTCTGGGAACTCCTGTCTTCCTCCCTGAAGGTGGGACACAGACTCTCTACTTTGGCTTCTTGTTGACAAGGCACAGAGAGCCACTCTGATGGCAGCTAGAGCCCTGGAGATGCTTCCACCACCACTGGATCCACAAGACTTTCCACCCACAGGCCTGTGACCTTCCTGCATTTGGAATCATTGCATGTGTTGCTTGAGTCTGAAGAGGAATTTACAGACTGGTATCGGACATATAGGGCTAATATCAGATTTATGGAGTTGACTTTAACTGGGCTGGGATGCTTTCTTAATATTCAATTAATCTTTGTTATAAAGCTCTCTTATATAAGTGTCTGTGGATTTGTTTCTCTAGTCAACCCAGAGTAGCACAGTTTTCATAGGCTATATGTAATCAGCACCACAAAAAATATTTAAATATTTGAGGGGTCCATAAAAGGGGTCTTCAAAAAGTTAATGGAAATCACATATTATAAAATGCTCTGCACGGATTTCAGTTTTTTTCGTCGCACTAAATAAGCTCATGCTAGCTTGTTGTAACATCTCTAGGCAGGATCTAGTTTAAGGCACTAAGAAGAACAAGACCCAAGTTTGAAAAGAGCTCCCATCAGAGCAACATAAATTTTGGTAAACTTGAAACAAGAACAAATACTAAACTCATAGTTAAATTGCGGTGGAAGAATGGTGAAGTTATTAATGCTTTATGAAAATTTTATGGGGACAGTGTCCAAATGTGAACTCACTGTAAGAAAGAAGAGATAACAAGATCTTCAGTGGCAGACTATCTCCATCAATTTTCGAGGAAACAATCTTGTTCATACCCTAATTGAAGAGGACTGACAATTAGCAGCAGACACAATACCAGAGACCTCTCAAGGCTTAACTTCTTTCTATGCTATTCTGTATCCTTCTACCAAGAGGAAAAAGCTGAGAACCACCTGCAATCTCCACGATAGCTTCCTTTCTCATTGCAGGCTCTCCCGAGGAAGGGGAGAATCTTTACTATGAATGAAGCGTGGAACTTGACGTAGGACTTGACAATTTGATTACTGAACTGAAGCTGTGTTGTATCTTAAAAGTGACCTGAGACTCTGAATCTATACTAAGGTAAGAAAATAACTGGTTCCGCAGAACAGGTATGAATAGGCAAAAAAATAAAGTTACTTCCTTATTATAACCTACAAACCTCAAAGCAATCGTCATTGCTACTGAAAAAATCTAATAAAGTTGACAAGATTGATGATCATAAGTTTAACTTGGAACTCAGGTGGGTGACATTCTCCAGTAAAGAGGAAGTAATAGTCTGGACGATGCAAGAGGATCAGGGATAAACAACTGCTCCTTCTCCTGGCATGGAGAAGGTGTCATTCTGTTACCCAAGACACAGTTCTATAAAGGCTAGGTACAGGAGAATACTAAGGAGTGAAGGGTGTGTGCGAAGGAGTGTTTTAATATGAGCAACAGACTCTAGGCCCAAGTCTAAGGGAAGACTGATGGGATAAATAGCAAGAATAAAACATGATAGGTCTACAAATTTTAATAGTAAACTTCAGGAATAGGAAAAGAAGTAGAGGTTGACAAGGAGTAGAGTGTCAATCATAAAGCTTTCACAAATGATGTAATTTCTAGTGATGACATAACCAGGGGCCATGAGATCAGGAACGTATATGGCTAATGAGGAATGAAGATATATTCATTAGAGATTAAGAGTTCAAAGAAATTAAGAGTCCAAAGTTTTAGGTGACTCATTCACATAGATAGCAAAATCATTCTTATATGCCAACAGAAGGGCTTAAGAGGTTGTTATAAGATGAAAAGTATATCTCTGGGAAAGACTAGAGACAAATCTCAATGGATAAAACTGTAGCTGTAAAAAAATAAACTAAAAACTTTAGCTGGATATAGAGCGTATAGTGGTCTCGGTGAGGCACCAGAGAGCACGCCATCTTCTGGAGTTTAAGCATATGGTATATAAAGGGGAAATAACTGCCACATACACTAACAGTTTCAGATTAAGTCATATTGAACATTCTGAGAATAGGCTAATGATAGGAGTTTTCTGAACATGGAAGAGGAGGTCTAGAGAGGATAGTAGCTGGGTTTGAAAATGAAGAAAGGGCAACTAGAACAGAGTTTGGCAATGCACTGAACAATATCTATATAAGAAAAACTGGGGGGAAAATAACCAGGAGACAGAGACTTCTGTAGTATCTGCATTAAGGACAGGACTGTGAAAGATGGTTTGATGATTAGTGCTAGTGTTTAGAAAGGCAAACAAGTCCTATTGCTTTACCCCTAAAAGTTCCCTGAAGTTTCTTAGTCAGTTCAAGTCAACCATTAGGAAATATTAAATCTCCCAGGCCTCACTTAGTGTTACAGCTGTGTTTTGTGTGTGTACAGGTTGGCAAGTTCTAAAATAAAAGTTATGAAGGATCTACTACCAATTGTTAGCATTATTTCTGAAGAAAAATTTGGAATTTAAGAGAAATAAAGATTAAGTAAAGCATTTTTACTTTTCCTCTTTTTAATGAATATATTACTTTAGCAATACTTAAAACAAACAAAAATATTTTAAGCAACTTAATGTTCTACAGGTATTTTTGGTTTTGTTTTATGATTAATCCTTCCTATTTAAAATTTTAAAATCATCTGAGGATTAAAGATGAAGTTAAGAAAGTACCCTGATTGTAGCTAGTTCATAATTTCTTCAGATTTAAATGTAAGTGCTTGTTACCTAGTGAAAGATCTTTCTCTCCTAAATTTAAACAAATCTAAAACAAATTAGGACAATATAAGCACATGCAAGAAAAGAAAAATAGTACCAACTTTAAAAATAAGATGAACAAGCAAACCAACCAGCTGATTTGGAATCACATACTATCACAATTAAGGAGCCCCAGCAGTGCTGTCAGGTAAGCACTGGACTGCTAAGCACAAGGCTGGTGGTCCAGACCCATCAACCACGTGGAGGGGGATGTCAAGGCGATCTGCTCTCATACATACTTACTACCTCAGAAACCCTACACTGCCTCGATCTGAGGAGGAAGCCACTGGGTGGCAGCAGGTTTGGTTTTCCTTTTGGAGTTCCATCACAATATGACATTTAGATAAATTCCAACCCATTGCCACACAGTCAATTCCAACTCACAACGACCCTATCGGACAGGGTAGGATTGTGCCCGCAGGGCTTTCCAGCCTGGGATCTTTACAAAAGCAGCCTGTCACATCTTCCTCCTGCAGCATGGAGGGTGGGTTCACACTACCCATCCTACTGCTAACAGCTGAGTGTTTAGCCACTGCACCCACAGGC